CACTGGCCGCGGTTCGCCGTCCCGGGCCAATGGGGGCGGCGAGAAGCGGCCCGGGCGAGTGATGTGCTGGCCGCGGCTTCTCGCCGCCCCCATTGGCCCGGGACGGCGAACCGTGGCCAGTGGGGGCCGCGATCGGCCGAACCTACCGCGTCAGCAGGTAAATAAAATTGGCCCGGCCCGCCAGGGTGCTTACCCTGGCGAGCCGCATGCCGAACGTTGCCGACCCCTACTCTAAAGTTTTATATTGTTTTGTTTTTGAGTGCAGTTATGTAACAAAAAATATACATTTGTAAGTTGCACTTTCACAATAAAGAGATTGTACTACAGTACTTGTATGAGGTGAATTGAAAAATACAGTTTATCGTTTTTAAAGTGCAAATATTTGTAATAAAAAATAATACAATGTGAGCAGTGTACACTTTGTATTCTGTGTTGTAACTGAAATTAATATACACCTCTACCCCGATATAACGCTGTTCTCTGGAGCCAAAAAATCTTACAGCGTTATAGGTGAAACCGCGTTATATCGAACTTGCTTCGATCCACTGGAGTGCACAGCCCCACCCCCCCGGAGCACTGCTTTACCGCATTATAGCCAAATTCGTGTTATATCGGGTCGCGTTATATCGGGGTAGAGGTGTATTTGAAAATGTAGAAAAACATCCAAAAATATTTAATAAATTTCAATTGGTATTCTATTATTTAACAATGCGATTAAAACAGAGATTAATCGTGAGAGTTATCTGCCATTAACTGACAGCCTTAGACAGATTTTTCTGTAGGAGTTTTTACATTCATATAAACTCTTTCCTTTGCTTTTGGTCTTTCAGGCTCAAGTTTCCCCATGTTTGTACTATCAGGAAAGACAAGATTCTTTTCCAGCTGAGGCAGAGGAAGAGCCGACCTCACATGCTGAGCAGGAGGTGAATCACAAGCCCAAAATCTGCAGGCTGGTGAAGGGTCCTAGTGGATTCGGCTTCCGTTTGAATGCAACCAAGAATATGCCCATGCATTTCATCAAAGAGGTACTAACCTAGGACTTTTAGCCTGGGAGAAGCATGAGACACCAGAAGGGAAGAGTCTGGGCTACAGTTAGACATCCATTCCCTTCCTTCTGTGCTGTGACTGCACTCAGAGCAAGTCATTCTAAGCCATTTGTAACAAAAAGGCAAGGTCTGTCCTATGTGCTCTTGGCTGATAGTAGAGTTTTAGTCCTTGAACTCAGGATGAATTCATACCCCTAGAGGTGAAAGGATGGTCTTGTGATTAAGGTACAGGAGTGGGAGTGAGGAGACCTGGGATATATTCCTAGCTCTGCAAAACTTCTGGGGTAAATTGCATAACTTTTATCTGTATTTTCTCTTCTTCCTTAATACTTATCTAACCCACAGGGGTGTTGTACTGAATATAATAATATATGTAAGGGATCAGAGATCCACAAGACACTATACAAATGTAAAATATGACAAACCATTCTCTGATCCCCTAAGTACCACAGTTAAGTCTACATACCACCACCATGGCCTCTTCCCCACAACAGAAGTCCTATCCAAGTCAAAACCCATTACAGGACTGGTAATAAAAGTGGATAATTGGAATACTATGTTAAAGTCTCATCCTTTCTCCTTCTCCAATTAAGTTCTGCTCCAGAATAATTTTTTCCAATCCTTACTCTACCTCCTGTATTGGGGAAAAAAATCATAGAACATTCATTCTCTATAATACTTGGGTGTTAATGCAACTTTAATGGTACTGTGCTGGTATCACAGCTTCAGAGCCTCTGTTTGCAGATACGGAAAGGTGGGCCAGCTGATGCAGCAGGACTGGAAGAAGAGGACATTTTGGTGGAAGTGAATGGCGTGAACGTACTGAACGAAGCCTATGATAAGGTTGTAGCAAAAATCAGTGACAGTGGTGACAGACTGACACTACTGGTGTGCAGAAAAGCAACCTATGAATACTTTAAGTCTCAGAATATTCCTATTACTGCCTCTCTGGCAGATCAGCTATATGACACTACTGATCCTCCTGCTTATACAGAGAACCCACCAGCAGAGCCAGAGAGGACCTCGCCGGAACCAAGAGAAAGGGTGGGTAATCCTGAGTTAACCAAATCTTGTGGACCAGGTGGTGGGGAAAGGAACCTGAATCAGTCACTAAATTCACTTGAGGGAGGGTCTATGAATTCTAGTTGTATTCTGGATTTACCAGATCTGATCTACGTTAATTAGTATGGAGTGGCAGACCTGGTTACAGTAGGGTAGAACTGCCTCCTCTCTCTAGTCCCCACACGCAGTATCTACTGGAGCCTTGGAAGGGAGGACAGGAGAGGGGAGAGAGAGAGAGAGAGAGTGTGTATGCGTGTGCATATGTGAGAGAGAGCATTCATTAACGTAGGTGAGAACCATATCCTCAGGAATTCTTTGTTCAACAACAGGACCCAAGTAACTGTGAACATGGGAAAACCATGTGAAGTGCTCTAAAACAGTGCAGATTCTTTGGTGGGCGTGGGATGGGTAGACTGTGACAAAGTGTGATCAACAAAGGTCCTGAGAAAAAAATAAATATTCTGACCACACTGGTTCAGGGAAATTGTGCCAGCAACAAGAGTTTGAAATTTGCTATTGTCAGAAAAATGACACCTGTACTCAACTGCTCTGATCCCTGTGTGGATTCAGGTCTTTGCTGTGAAAAATAAACAAGTTTTTACTCCTGTTCATGCAGGAGACACAATAAAGCTAGGAAGGAACGAACTGGATTCTATTCCTCCACATGTATTATCACCAGAATTGTTAACTAAGTTCCAACTGCAGATTCTTTCAGTGATGTCTTATGTCCCAGGCTGAATTTGCAGAGCTATAGTTAAACCCTTCTTTTTATCTGACCTTGGTGGATTTGATATGGAAGTTGAGCAAGAACATGGAATTCCCATTAGACAATTTAGTCGCTTTGTAAAGTGCATTTAAAAGAGTAATTCACTAAGCTTCTCACGCAAAGGCAAATTCCTACTGGGCATAGGTTCAGAACAGACTGTTAGTTCACAGTGGCATGAGGAATCTCTATCACATTATCTACAACCATAAAATAATCAGAAATTTCTACTTATTGCTTTTCCACAGGCCAGCTCCTCCTCCTCTTCACTCTCAATCGCCTCAGCAGAAGATGATGATGACACACAGTTATGATGAGATAGACCACAACAGAAATCAATCAGACATCTTCCAAGGTTTAAAGAAAGTTCTCTTCCTCCAAGCAGTCTTTGTTCTTTTACCTCCCAGAACCACACTGTGCTATGGAACTTCATACTTGTGAGGACTGGAACAGCAACTTCCTTCTAACTAACTTTCCCTGAAGGGGAACAATCCCATCACCCCCAAGAACAACCACTCACTTACCTAATGCTGCTAATCGTAGTTCACTGGTCTTCTGCCTGGTGAAATGGACAGTTACTTACTTCTACTATTGCTCTGTAAAAGCTTAAATGACTAATCAGGAACATCTGTCATCTTGTGGGGGAGGAAATGTGATTCACAAATCAATAAGCACAAGAAAGCTCCTTAATATAGAAATTGATCTCTCACATCCCCCACAAGAGACTTCTTTCCTCCTAATCACTGTGGCTATTACATGCTATATTTACTGTAGTACAATCAGTTTAACCCAGTAGATGTAATATATCATGATAAGCTAATGTATTCTGTGAAGAACACTCTTTTCACTTGCTAACAAGCTGTCGATATTGTCCATTCAAAACAATAGGTTAACTTAATAGTTCACTGTTCAGAAGCTACAAGCACCATTCCCTCCACCCCACTCTCCTAGCTGCAGATCATGGCAGTTTGAACAGTGTCTGTAATTCAGTGTAAACAGCTTTGTTTGCCTACATGCCAACATCTTGTCTCTAAGGCAATATGAACCAGCTCTGTAGTACCAATAGTGGATGCTATACCTCCTTGGTGTAAGCTTGAGACAAAGCATAAATAAATCATTCAGCGTGGCTATTTCTCTTTCCTGGGTCTTACTCCTGCCATCTATGATGTATGTTCCACAACAGCTTTAAAATGAGCAAGGTCTGGAGAATGGTTTTCAGGAAGCTATACGTTTAAGTTGCATGGGTGAAATTTACCTTAGTGACTTGCATTAAGCCAACAAGGGATATGGGCTGATGTAGAATATATCAGTCAGTGGGGAGCACTGAATTTCTAGTGTATAACGTAAACTAGTTATAGCTACCATCTTTGACTTCGCGCTAAACTCCAGTGAACAGTAACCCAAGGCATGGATTCTGATTCATTAGGCCCTAAATGGTAACAAAGGACTGACTTCCAGTTCCTAAGGAAGCTAGATACTAATCATGCACATCTCCCATGAATCTCAATCCACTTCCCCCTCTGCCAAACAATGACATTCACACACTTGCTCATCTCCATTAAAGTCCCTGGGACTGACACAAACAATTATGATGCTAGTGGTGAGGTATTACGAAAGCCGATTTAATTTCACAGTCTCAGACATTCAGATCCAGAATCAACACCCTCCAACTCTGGATTAAGACTGATTTGTTTTTAAACTGAAATCACGTTTCCTCGGTGTCCTTTACGCAGAATTCTTCTACCCGTGATTTTAAGAGGTCTCTCCTCAGACCATCCTTGGCAGATTTTTCAATACCATAAGACACACCTGTCCCATGGAGTTTCCTATTCCGTGGCTCTCAGCTGTCCTCCACTTTTCTCCTGCCTCTGCTGTTTGTTCAGCTCATGGCACCCTCTTCACAGGATGAACCATATAGCTTCTAAGTGCAACCGTGGAAGTCAGAAGGGCCAATTACATCATCAGAGCACTGAAAGAGCTGCCCTCCCTCTCTCCAAATCCTGTCACCCCTAATGAGTTGCAGTAGTCCACCAGAAGGGATTATAGAACAGTGGGCAGAACTGGAATGGATTCAGAGCGCCATGTGCTTCTCTGGGGCCTGTTTATGTGCCAAGTAGAGGAAAAGGATGCTGGAGAGAGCGCTAACCAGGAATATCACATCAAACCAACGGTGATAGAAATTAAACTGCAGCTCCCCCAAGACTTCTGTAATGATAGTACGATACTCCGGGGGCATACTCATCCGGATTAGGAGCACAGAAGAGACGAAGTACATCCCCTGGAGATAAGATACAGGAAGCGCATCAGTTAACTGCTTCACAGGTGGCTACTTTGCTGAGATGGGACAATAAGATAAAAGCTCACTAGCAGGTCTGGATACTCACCATGATCTGTGCCAACAGCAGAACTATAACATTGGAGGACTTGCTGCTGGAGATGGCATAGAAGAACTGTAAAGAAGAAAAAAAAAGTACTGAAAATAGGACTCTCATCACCAGGCATGTTTGTGCTCCCTTCTACAGGAACATGGAAGGAATACATGCTCCAATCATTCCCCTTTAGTCCTAGAAACCAGCACTGAAGGAAAAAGACATGCTTCCTAGATGTGTATGTACACCACACCTTTCAAAGATACAGACCTGGGCCTTGTCCTCAGTAGAGCTACAAGTGTTTTTACATAGGTCCCACTAAACCAGCTACTAACACTGCATGGCCAGCCAGTGTGGAGAATCCAGTTTTAAAAAACAAAACAAAACAAAAAACAACCCAAAATACATTCTAGCCTAGGTACCCTAAGCCCAGTTTACAGGCCAGCATCGATGGGTCACCCTGTTGTGTGTTGCCAGTTTTCCCCCGTGGTTGTACTAAAGCATTAATCCCCTACCTGATCCCCAGAAATAGCTAGCAGTTTAAATGAAGCAACCCAAGTCCTCTTAATCGCCATTCAATACCCAAAACTAACAGATCCAGGCTTCCACATCACTGTTAAGCCTTGTTTACATTACATTTCGTCTCTTAAAATTTCCCAATCTTACTACCACTGATAGTAAAAACAGTGGAAGGGCTAATATAAACTGCTCACAGGCAGCAACCAGGGATTAATCACTAGATCGGTTCTGAGAAATTAGAAAGCCTGCTGATTAAAACAATGGAAGCCAATTTACACTAGCATGACTACTGTTGGTAGCAACAGGGAGATTTTTTTTTTTTTTTTTTTAAGAGAGGAAGTCTAGGGCAAGGAGAGAGTCTCAGATTATTCTAAGAGTTTTAAAACATTTATAAAACTATTTACAGCCCTAACATTAACACCATTCCTCTGCTTGGACTGGAGGCACTTATAGATTGTGCATTGCATTTAGTGACGGAAATTGCTGAAAGAATTCTCAATAGGACCATACCCCAGATAAGCCAGGAAAAGTTATCCTCCCCTTCTCTAATTCAGCCATAAAAGACTTTTTTCTCCATCCCACTCCCTGCAAGGACTTCTATCCCAGCCTTCCTCATCCCCTATTTGTCTACTAACTGAATAGAGACCACAGGTCCTACATTTGTACTAAAGGTTTACACCAGTGGTTTAAGATTTCCAAAGGGGTCCGCACCTCCATTCAAAATTTTTTAGGGATCCACAAATGAAAAAAGATTGAAAACCTCGTTTACACAATGTTCTCTTGACTAAATCAGAAATACAAGCAAGCTCTCCTGGACTGCTATCACATAAGAGGGCTCTGGCCAGGCATACCTTTGTGAGTGTGATCAGTAAGCCTCTGATGGAGGTGACGATGATTATTCCAACGAGGATAAAGGAAATGTGCTGAGACCAGAATTTTACCTGCACCAACAAAAACAGGAAATTGTTAAATCCCTGGGGCCAGGCATTTGAAGAATGTGTGTGGATGTGCACTTAACAGGATCTCTGAATTCTCATACTGTGCAGATACTCACTGTAGAGAAATTTACATACAGGTATATATTCTCCTGCAAGGGCACAAAGATGGGTACTTTCATGTGCAAGTGCTTACTCTACACACATGGGAAATGCACAGATCTAGCCTATGTGGACTTCATGGAAGGAACTGAGGGTTCAGATGTGAATATTTATAGGGTAAATACAAAAGAACACACATCTATTTGGTACATAAAGGTAACTGCCTTGTAGATACATGTAATATACTAGGCAAGGTCCCTCAGTGTTTCCATCTTTTCACAATAAACATGTGAACCACTGCCCTCTTCTGGATAGCTGGTATATGGCTACAACAAGCAGAGGAGATTATTATTATAGGAAGGGCTGGTAGCCCCATCAATCATTAAGGTTGCCCAACACATTTCATTATAAGACCCTCTTTTCAATTGGTTGTAACTTGGCCAAATTTTAATTATTTGGGCTGAAATTTTCCATGGAAAGTGTCTGCCTCAAAATTCCAAAAAGTTTCAGTCCAAACAATTCAGCCATTTCCAAAAACAAGGCTACGGAAAAGTACATTGTTTTGACCATGTTAAAAAATTCTGGAGATCTTTTCTTTGAAAAGCAGTAAAGCCCCCATACATCGGAGTAGGGGCTTGAAATTTGGGAGGGATATGCCTTTTGACATCCTTGTGAAAATCCACCCAAATATGTCCAAGTTACATAAACCTGAGAAAAAATGCAGTTTGCATAGACTTGGTAGAGACTTGCTGGAATGCAGTTCTATTCCCTGCAGATTCCATTCATATTGAAAATGCTCCAGCCTGAGGCTCAGCAGGACTTTCCCTGAAATTGCAGCTCTGAGCTGCTGGGGATTGTGCCAGGTCCAGCAGGGTGGATTAAAATCTATCATTTTTATTTTAATCAGATATTTTTTATTGTTGTTTAAATTACAATACATTTTTCTTTTTAAAAATAAACCTGTTCAAAATTAAATCTTGATTTAATATAAAATATATTAAGGCCTAAACTTCCTACAATTTATTTGTAAATGTGAAACACATTTTGGTAAGAGAAGCTTATGTATACAAAACATTTAAGGTTGTTTTGTTTAATAAATATAAATATATGCTGTTTTGTGTATTTAAATAACTTCTAGTTACCAT